ACGCCTTTGGCTGAAAAGTCCTGTGGGTTGATTTCCCAGCATCGCCGAGTCCCAGCGATGCCTAAATGGGGCTTAGATGTTCGGGCCGGTACCCTCGACTCAACTGCATGATTGCGTTATTCCATCTGGGACACATCGTAAGTTTAGAAAATTCAATTTCATTGTGCGAATACTAATAGGCTTCTCCTGGCTTGCGCAGAAATGCAATTTGAATACGTGCGCCTGGCCTGTGCACAGGCCGCTGGCTATTCGCACAATGAGATTGATTTCTCGAAATCTACGGCATTTTCAGACTTGCCACTTCATCTTGTAGAATGTCTATGTATAATGTATATGCTCCTGTATTATTGAAAATCATTAACTATGGCAATTTGTTTAGGTAAGCGAATTCTCAAGGTCCATAAACCCCACCAACTTTGAATACTTTACCTGATAAACAATCGCAAATTGTGGAAAACATTGACTCACATACAACGAACGTAACTTTCAGCTACTGTTCCACCGGAACAAATGTCCTCAATATTCTAGAATCTAAATGGCTTTTAGAGATGCAAAATATGCGTGGGCGCATTCGTGCAAACAAATTTTGGTCGATGATGCTTTGTTGCCAGTAAAAATTCCGTAGCCCACGCTAATTATTTGCTATTCGGTGCACGTTTGCTGGTGAAAACCGGAGTTTTCCATTAAAGGTTGCAAAGTATGCTAGAAAGATCTCGAGGTTTATCGATTAGGAACATCGAACATACGTAAACATAGTGGACAGATGAATGGTCTTACCCGACGCACACGACAAACATGCGGCTAGCGGTACACGGTGCATAACTAACTAGCGCATCCATCCATCTGTAACGAAGAAAAGGTTCCAATCGAACGTCATTGAATGTTGGGATATATTGGTCGTTTTTAATTGTACATATGTCCTTCTGAGAGGCGAATTTTCTTCTTCGTGAGGAGCGTTCATTAGGCCGTTGAAGTCCTGAAATGAGAGGGCGACATAATTCAGGTTATCGAAATATCACCATAAGGCGGGCGGCCGACAAACTGGTAGAGAGACTTACCCAAAAATTCACTGCAGTGACTATGCTGTCGTAGATGCCTGTTCACACAATCCCATCTTCAGCGACTACTTAGCATGCCTGTTTACTGCACCCCTCAAGAAATACGAGATTTACATGAAGTGGATAGAGCCTCATTACCAGACAAACTTTTCGGAGCCGATGGGTCACATGAAGTCATCTTCGTCTCTTTCATCTAACTGGCGTTCTACAGCGTTAGTCGTAGTTGTCAGACGTTGACTCACGGCTGTCGAGTAGTTCCTCTGTGGACCCGAAAACACGGACGCATACAGACTTCCGGGACACACTGTGCTGGGACTCTGTGCTTTGGTGCAGGTCCACATCATAAGGTGCCCTCTTGGCGGACTGGGTAGCAAGCACACCTCCGCGTTTTCTGGTTGGGCCCGGAGCTGGAAACCAAAGTAATTTATTTTCATGTGGACTCACCTTTGGGACAAGCCTGAAGAGCACCACCACACTGTGGGCAAGGTTCACCGTCACAACAGTCGGCGTGATATGACATGCGATCCGCTGCACACCAGCGGTCACTGGTAGTAGTCGGGCGGCCAAAGACCACACAAAAGCCCAAGTCAGCGTTTCCAGACCGCCATCTGGGTTGAGGTGCAGTACCCTTTACTACCAACGGCAGGTCGTCGGTTGCAGACCTTGAGGCTTGGCGCAGCAGGATTTTTCCCTGAACAATCAACCGCTTGAAATACGATGAACATAAAACCGACTGTACAGCATTGTCCAGGCGGGCAATGCGGTGAAATATGTGCCGGCTTTTCGCAGAATGCGTCTATGACCAAAAATACATGGATACTAAATGATACGTATGTGCTTCCTGATGGCTTTGCGGACATCAAATTTGCAGAGTATAACGTCACAGCCTCACATACAATGACGCGCCCGGTCTCCCGAAGTTTTGCCAGGACCGAAGGCTATCATCTGCTACATTAAAACCCAACAATGCGGCACCTACTCAACATAGCCGGTCGACACTTCCGGCGGTAGATTTGTATATCCTTAGTGGTAAATGTCTTTCCGAATTCATCCGCCACAAACTGCCGCACCTCACATGACGGCGTTCCATATTTCAGCAGGGCCTTGCATGTGCCCAACTCGTCTTGGGTTAGGCGTCGAGTAACTGGAAGCTGATCGTACAGAAACCTTGACAGTTGTTGGTTGTGTTCAAGAAAATAATAAGTCACTGCCGGTTGGTTCCTTTCTCCCATGGACAAAACCGCACCGGACAGCTGGTGCTTCGCGTACTTCTTTTATTAGAAGATACGCTCGGCTGACTAGCTTTTTCGGATTCCAGGCTTTCCGTTGGTCGCCTGCTGCATTTGTGGTGCACCCTTTCATAACGCAAAGCAGTGTTGGTGCTACGATTACTGGATGAACGCATAAATACCACAAAGTTAACCTTCATGTATTCATTTAAGGTCTTCTCAAACGCCGTGAAGGATGAAAACGATACACCCGGAAATTTCTCGACGAAAGCCACTTCCGAAGCCATAGCACACGAAGTTCAAAACCAAACGCGAGCAATAATTTTCAAAGGATATCGATTAAAACAAATCGCAAAAAATGACGACAGATGAGGGGAATTTTTAGACCGGGCACATATGCAAAGAAGTGCAACATTCTGACGTTAAAATTTTTATTTCACCCGCAGGGGTTTTGCAGAAGAATGCATTGTGCGTCGAGGCGCCAACAGAGGAGACCGGCACAGAGTAATAAACTGACACTGCGGCATCTTGAGCATTTCCACTAAAAAGCATTGAGCTAGCTTGGAATTCCTTCCAAAATCTCATAGCCTTCAATCAACATAGTGTTTGGGACGTAAATAAACCCGCCAGATATCTTAGGTAATTCACAAATGATGGTATCCAGCATGAGTAAGTTAACTTCGATTCTGATCAGATTGTCTGAGGTCAAAAAAGAGTGGTACAGAAAAATCCATGCCACGCTGTTGATATCATGCTGTTGGTGGTGAGGCGGTTCGGGATGGTCGGCTCCAGAATATGCTCCGTCACCGCATATGGCGTGCTATTTGTTCCAACAAGCCACTGGGTACAGGGTAGTTGACGTTCATTAATTTTGAAAATCGGCGCACTTGTCACATTTTTTAAAGCAGGAGGTGGATTGCACAGAGCAAATGAGTTTTTCTAAGCTGAATGGTTAGCTTATTTGGACGTATTCTGTTCGAATCCGCCACCGGAAATCGTATTGTCATGTGGAAGGGTCTCTGAAATCCTTCTCCCTTATAAACCAAGATGGTCGGATGCCTTGTATGGCCAAAATCAAATGAAATGACGCCGCCGGGGCGTGATATAAACCTTTACAACGTCGTATGTAGGCTTTGGCTGCAAAATAGGCCTTGGGCGTCCACGAATTCTATATTTATGGTCTTTGAATTGAAGGCTGTTATCCTGTATCCTATCTGACCCCAAATATTCTGCATCTTCAGAAATCCAAGCTGTTCCCCAGGCTCCTGTAGTAACTTTTCCCAGAGTATCTTCTTTGCTAATTCACTGGGCTATTGTGCTGAGCGAAATATCTGAAAACAGATTGCGAACTTTATGGCCTTTGATGTCACTTTCTTGAAACACCAGCTATTCAGAGATGGAGGCCAGTCGCAAGCTGTTTCGCAGGTTTGGTTAGCTTGAAAAACCACATTATTCTATGCACCTGAGGCAGAGGTGGCTATCAGTGATTTAAGATGGCTTTGTCCAGTCATCTGCGGGCGTGGATCCGTGGATGCTACTGGGGAACCTCGCTGTATTCACGGAGCATTTATGCCTATTTGGACTAACCAAGCTTCACATGGTGGAATTTTCGGAGTCTATCTCTACAACATCGCTTCCAGACTCATGCTCTTTGAAGTAAACGCGACATCCGCCTCTCAAGCGATTCAAGTCTTGCAAAAGCCGACAGGCGTTTCTTGAAGGTGGTACTGTTTCTCTGTACAAGTTGGAGAAACGCGGGAAGCTGGGCGATTAGTAGCTGTTTATGCAATTATTGATCCTAGTCCGTGATAATTCTGCTGCAAAGGCATAGCAAACGGGCAAACGGGGTGATGCGGAAGCTGGCGGTAGGGAGTCATGGTCGATGGACAGGAAGTGTCTCAGTACGGCAGGGAGGCGGATAATGCAATGGAACCATGGGAACGTACCGAAATAGCAACGAGCCATTCGACGGGGTGGGGGCAGTATAGCCTTTATTTTGCGCGTCCTCATCTACCTGCCCATAGTAATCGCGCTCCACATGCGGAGCAAGAGATTTTAGGGGATATAATGACCTACGAGTTATGTAATAAACCTCAATTAAACCTTAGTAGGTGCCATGAAGTTCAAAGAGCTCGAGATTTTAAAACCATGTGGACGTGAAAAAGAATTTTTAGGGGACTAACCGCGCTAGTGCGCAAAAACGAACCATATGGATGAAGGCGAACAGACCAGCGACGGGAAACCAATGGGATTCTTGAAAAATTTTGCAAGAAATAAAATCAGCCCAAAGTCAAACGTACCGCGAGTCAGTAGCTGCCCGTAAAGCCAAGTAAAACCATACACAGAAGCATACTAGGACGTTCACCAGGATGTGAGCACCAAACCGTTGTGTATATGTAGTAACGGTTCTGTTGTATTACAGTGGAAAACTGAACTAGGTTGTTCGGTAGAACCACCAGTGACAATTAATGTCGGTCTGAACGCGCGGGCAGGCCGTAATCTACTTATCTGTGGTTGGGAAGTTCCCGCTTTTTCTGATGCTGGTAGGCGTGCGGAAAATTTTAAGTAAACAGTGGTAATGTGTACTAACAGCTCAATTTCTTCTGTGACCGGGACACGCTGATTACAACTTCTCACTGGGTATTCTATCGTGTGAGGTCTCGACCAGCTGACGTGTACAGCACTGTTGCTTCTCTTGGCGAATGACCTGTCGATGCCCAGATCGCTTAGGAATAGCGTATTCAAGGACCCAGAGCTTTCTCGCCTGTTCAGTCATGAAGACCCGACCCATATTTTCACGGACCTGAGGCAGATCGGCTGTGGTAGTTTCGGTGCTGTTTACTATGTAGGCCCGTTTCTCTTGCTCATCTTTCATTGAATAGGCCCGCAACAGACTTACTGATGAGGTCGTGGCAATCAAGGAACTAAAGGTAGACACCAAACGAAAAAAGTCCGATGAAGAGTGGAACGATATTGTCCGTGAAATTCGCTTTTTATCAGGGCTGTCTCATAATAACTGCGTGCTTCCTAAAGGCTGCTACATGAAGGACCAAATCCCTTGGGTAGGTTTTAACCTTGTTTGTTCACGAAGACCTTGTAGCTTGTCATGGAATACTGTATAGGTTCTGTGGCGGATATTCTGGAAGGTAACCATGTTAAATAGTATGTAATTTACTGATAGTCCACAAATTGCCCTTGCGGGAAAACGAAATCGCATGCATCGTGCGTGAAGTTCTATTTGGATTACAATATCTACATTCAAGCCATCGGATACACCGGGATATTAAAGCTGCCAATATACTTCTGACCGATTCAGGTGGTGTGAAAATAGGCGACTTCGGATCAGCTAGCTTTTTGAGTCCTGCGAATAGTTTTGTCGGGACACCCTTTTGGATAGCGCCGGAAGTGATCCTGGCCATGGAAGATGGTATCTATGACTGTCGTGTAGATATTTGGTCGCTGGGTATCACCTGTATCGAGATGGGTAAGTGCCACGGATGGCTCACCAGTGTCATCTGTCTGGAATTCGCGCAGTAAAATGCAATTCCACACCTGATAGTGAAAGTATCCAGTCATCATATTTCACTTCCTTTTGATGGTGTTATTTGGAGTTCGTGCTAAAGTCTATTGTGTTTTTTGTGTTAGACATGAATTTGCCGGCCTTGTTTTACCTGTAGTTAGTTGTCCAGCACCAAACACGGCATCAATCGATTACTTCTTAAGCACCATTTCTCTTAGTGCGCTACTTTCCCACTTTACTCTCCTATGGACCTGTGGAATCTGGTGACTTGTGATTCCGCGTGCTCTCATCCTTTTGCATGACAGTTCAATTCCTGTTAAGAACTGCATTCCAACCCAAGGGATGGTAGTGTTCCACGTGATGACCACCAATTCGAGGATGCATTTGAGCTATGGGTAACGACAGCACGCAAGGACTAGGTTCACCTAGTGACGTTTACACTCGTCTGGGATTATCTTTCGTTTGTAGGCCTCATCATTATCAGGGGCAGCAACGTCATTGTAGATACTGATACCTAAATGCTGTACGACCATAAATTTCATCTAGTTATATTTATAGCCCTATAGTGAAGAGATGAAAGGAGTAGGTGAGGGAGGAGACCTGGTGCTGGTATATGTCAAGCATTGTGAGATTCATACGCCTCCAAGCTCTTAGTCAGGCAATCTGGAAAGAAACCGACAGCACGAACACCCCCGAAATCGATCAGTCGCCATTTCTTGCAGTGTCTTCAGCCAAACAGAGGCGGGGTCACGAGGAGGGTGTATTCGAAGGTGTAAAACACCAACAACACCCAAACTCTTGGTAATCTCTTTCACGTCCTTCTACTAAGTCATACGTTGTCCACCTCGCGGTTTGCACCATTCTGAAGGAGATGCGGAGAACAACACTCGTCTCGGCAGACGGGGTTTCGGCATGCGTAGCACGTGACCGAGCCACCCCAGTTGATGGTGTTGGATGTTTCCCGCGATTAAAGTACTTGCCACGACCATATGCTCGTTTTCTAATCACCTTACTAATCCTCTAACATCATCCATAACCACCAGCGCTCCCGAGGCATCGATGGTTAGTAACCTAAAGACCACTCATATCCGTCGGCAGAGGCCACGTCTGGCACCCATAGAACGAAACTGCCCTTACCGTAGCCTAGTACACGCGGCCCTCAATACCCAATGATATTCCCTTTTGACGCCACAAGTGGTGCAACTTAGCGAACATGATTCGAGCCTTTGAGATTCACTGACTTTAACTGAGACATTTCCGTCAGAGCTAATACGACTACCGAGATATTTACCATTTACCACAACCTCCAGTGCTTCTCCTTGAATTGCAAGAGGTATGTTTAGAGACTACGTTCTGAAGCACAATTTTGCACTTTTAAGGGGCTTGGTGCATGTCAAAAGATAGCATAATGGTGGTCAGTCTATTCAACAGAGCTTGTGGTTCGCTTTAGTCTTCTTTACCGGCCTAACAGCAGTATGCAAACAATCAGAAGCTTGCTGTTCGACCGTGCTCAAGCTCAGTTCGTCCTTCCCCGATAAAAGATAAATTTGAAAATCCTGAAAAGTAGACAAAAGTATCTAGCAAATATGCACGTGAAATGCCAACAACCTTGATCTCCGCAATAAGAGCGTCTTACCATAGGTTAAGCAATTTATTGTCTAGATCTGGGTAGTCTGGGCGATTTCGCTTTGCTCCACAGTTACGTTTCGAATGAATATCACAGCTGAGTGACTTTATTTTTTCGATAGACCGTAGGTATGTTTGAAAAACGTCACTCCCACAGGATTCGGCACGATAAAAAGTGACGATTTCGTTGGCTCAGTGGAGGTCAGCAATCACCATCATCATGAAAGACAGCAACATCAGTGTTGGCGCTGATGCCTCACCGCCGTGGAGGTCGTGGACTCGCCGCTCATTTTGTCTGCTTAAATGATGCCGATCCCAAGGCCAAATAGGTGCCATTGAACATTCTCTCATCTAATATTGGAGAAGTTTACTAGGGGGAGGTAAATTAAGATGATGAAAACCCTGACCAACATTCCAGCCCATGTTCTTGAGTACAACTCAACGAGAGCAAATCAATCGTCTAAGCTGTTGCGGTTGCAGTTCTCCTCTGGTGTTTGAGATTCTTGAGGTACTCACAGAATTGCTGCTGAATCTGTGGGCTGAGAGGAGCAATCAGCACATGGCGTCAAAAGGTAACGGGTCAGTCAGTCAGTTTTTTTCGGCTCATACACGCGAGTGCAGTGGTTTAGCTCTTACAGCTTCGTTCGATGAAGAAGAAAAATAATGGAATGAAAGTCATTCGTTTGAGGCGATGACCTACTCTGCATTGACGACAAGCGGATCTGTTTGTTCAGTGTAGCGGGGAGTGAAGGCTACCAAGTGAAGGCGATAGCTTTGATGCAAGGTGGGGGCGAGATGGCTC